ACACACACACACACACACACACACACACACACAACTGTCTGGTGTGCACATTATTTTGGGCATTTGAATTTAGAATAAATGTGAGGTCCTAATGTTTTCTTTAGCAGAAATTTCATAGACTATTTTTTTTTTTACTTAAAAAAAAAAATTAACTACGTTTTTAACTATTTAAAAAGAATCTAAATTTTGAAGACTTCAGTATCTATTGGTTGTTCATTTCATGTTATGTGTTTCAGATAATAAAACATGTATTAATAAGACAAAAACCTTACCTGAGTAAATGTAAACAAATAAAAAAACAAACAAACAAAAAAAAAACTTTTATTAATTAGTAATAAAAGTTCTTCTAACCAGCCTGGTTATAGGTGAATCAGAAGCTGCCTCCTAAAGCTAAAAACACACTTCTTTAAAGAATTATTTAAACTGAGTCATTTTCTTTAAAGCTGTTTACAGGTGGACGTAATACTAAACGTTATCTCAGTGTCAGGTTTAAGCCAAAGGCACTTAAGTTTAAAATTCATTTTAAAAATCATTAACTTTTTCAGTTTTATGTTATGTTGACACTGGATATTTTTGGATGGAACTCAGCCTTTCAGTTGTTGTTCATGTTTAGTTTTTTTTATTCACATCACATTTGATTGACCTAATGTAACATTTATTCTGAGTATCATTCAAGGCAACCTACATACTACAACAAGTATCTGTACCGAGGTTTGAGAACCATGGGATTAACCATATGAAGGTGGTGTATGGTGGTGATATCAGGGTGTTGACATTCCTCTCCCATCCTCCTCTGCCACTTCTTTCTGCCTAGTTTACTCCACGTCTCTTACAAAACACAAGCACTGTCTTCCCCTGCCTCCTCACTCTGAGCTGAGCTGGGAAGAAGTGCATTTCATTGTCAAGTCCTGATGGGTTTCTGGCTTACCTGCAGAATGCAGCTTGCTTCCTGGGCACAGAGCAGGACATATTGTAAACATCTGCAACCCCATAGTTTGTGTTATCAGTTTCCTTCCCTTATGGAATTATTTCAATTAGCAATTCAAATAAAAATATTTCCTGGTGTTGACTGTCTACAAAATGACAAAAAAAAAAAAGGCGAAAATAAGTTTTACATGCCTCTTAAAATCTTTTAGTTATGAATTACTTAAGTGATCATCTTTAATAACAATATGTTATAATGTAGTTGCACCTAAAATGAGGATGATTTCCTGAGGAACATTCTCCTGTGGTCCTCAGCTATTTTTCCTATTTATTGTATAGGATATAATTTTACTCTTTGAAGATTAATCCAGTTCAGTTTCAATTTTTTTTTTTTTTTTTTTTTTTTGGGATGTAAAAAATGTAAAATAGGTAACTTTAACAACAGTTCAACACAAAAGGGAATGCATTATTCTAATGGTTTATCTAAAACTTTATTGATCATCATATTGAGATCATAAGGATGTTTACTTTCTATTTTCAGATTCATTTCCAAAGGTTTCACTTTAAGCGAATTTACCTGCATCCTCTGCGTCACTGGCCGCTAGGTGGCACTGTGTCTGTTTGATAAAAACTTCCTGGATCTCTCTCTCTCTCTACCCCTCCCTCTCTCTTTTCTTTTTCTCAGTAAAGGCTCTGAGCTTGCAGCCACCAAAAATCCCCCCCACCCCACTGACAGTGTTGGGTAGAGGACTGGTGTGGTGTTCTCCTTTCACCAAAGAAAATAATCAAGGAGATCAATGAAATTACCCTGCTTACACAAGAAGGCTCTACCTTTATCTCAGCTGATCAGAGTTTATACAGAAACAGGCCTTTGCACACTGCTTTCTAAAAGCAATAAGTTTAGTTTGGCAATAGAATCATCAAATAAAAAATAAAACAACATAAAATATGAAGAACATTTAATAAAAAGATCATCAAATTCATCACTGGTGAATTGTGAATCACAAGACAGGATAAAGCATTTGGATTTCACACCAGAATAACACTAAAGGAAAAGTTTAACTGTCTTTTTTTGTTAGATATGATTTAGATGTATTTGGGACTTGCTGACTTTGCAGTACCGGCCCCATTGTCTCATGGCTTTTAATAAACGGTTCATGTCTTATCTTGGGATATCGCAGCACTTAATTTCACACAGATAACCCAGCATTGTGCACTCACATTTAATAAACCTTAAAAACCCCTCAAACTTATCTAATCTCTCTGCATGTTAAAAGACTGCAACAGTAACAGAGTAGGCCTACTATTGATCATTGGAACTAATGGCTCAGTATCATTCCCATGATTTACTTTGGATGGATTTTTTTAAGGTGGATTTTTCCCCCACCCAACTAAGGCCAAGTTCTCAAACAAGAAGAATTGTTGACTGCTCATAAAACCAATTTGAAAGGTTTCTCTGTAACAATATGCCTACTTTCTGTTGGGAGCACCTTATCAAAACCTGATTTTGCCATCATCCTCTGCAGAACATAACGTGATGCATGCTCTCCATTGTAAAAAATACAAATAAAATACAAAAAATGAATCTGGTGTGCAACCATCTGAATTTTTCCAAGTGCTCACCCTGCCTGTGGTTAATTGATGCCCTGTGTGGGAGCCTTATCACAAAAACACTGTCATAAATGGCTTTTTGATTTAGGACTTGGAGGTATTCTAGTATTTTACTGGAGTTGTTATATGTTCAGGCATTAGTAGGAATTTGATTTCCTTGAAAGCATCATGTGTGATTACATTAGTTACACATTTTTTTAGAGGACTTGAAAGTTAGATAGTTTTCTGTTTCTCCAAATATGTGGTGACTTAAAAAACAAAAACAAAATATAATTTCATTCTAGACAAAAAAAAGTCTGAGATGATATCTTAATGGTTTAAATGATTACTTTTTAAGTGAAAGCCTAAAGCTGAAATCTCATTGATTCTTTAAGACCACCTTAACGGCGTTCGTCCCGCCCCTGGAGCTCCCTTTGGTCTCTGCGATTGGCTGAGACCTTTTGGATGGAAGTGGCTGCAGAAATGCAAAACTTGTTGCTGGCTCCTCTGGCCGCGTTGATCTCACACGGCGCCAAGCGGCAGAACGGAGTGTGTGATTCAGTGAGTGGATTTGTGAATCGCTCCGGAGCGCGCTCAGACCACACCAGAGGACGGACAGAGCAAAGTGGGGAAACGGAGGGAGGCGCATGTGAAGAGCGGAAAGGGGCGCACAGATACGGAGGTTCCTCCACCGAGCGCGCAGGCGGCAGCGCGGTGAAGGATGCTGTCAAGCCGCTCAGTGGCTGTGGAGCGCCGGGGAATGCACGCCGCGCCGCTCCTGGATCACTTTTTATGAATTGACGCTGTTATTGGAGAATTATCTTTGTGGACTTCCAAGTAAAACTGGACTTTTGGTGTTTAAATCTGCAGAAACAATATATATTTTTTCTCATTTCTTTTCTTTTATTTCTTTTTTTGTTTTTTGGTAAGGACACCGGTGCGCAGAAATTTGTCCAAGAGAGACGCGCACACCACAGAGCGCAGACTTTTTTTTGTTGCTATTTCCAGCATGGGACTTTATTCTTAAAAAGTGTTCTCGGACATTTTATACGGGGCTGGGAGAAAGAATTAAAGGAGAAAACTGTCAGATCTGCGCTCATCTCCTTGAATCTTGTGCGCTCTTCTATTTTCCACCCAGCGCTGTTTCTGTTTGTCCCAAAGAATTGTGCTCCAAGAACAATAACTTTTGAAAGACGTAACTTTTAATTAAGATTTTTTTTTATATATCACTAAGAACTGAAAGGAAAAGCTGACATTTCTACCTATTAACGCTTGGAAACATAAACATTTGCCGCGCGCATTTGGACACTATCCCTCTCTGCTCCGCGTCCTTGGAGAAGTAAAAAAAAAAATCCTTTTTTATTCCTAGAAATGAGAGCTTATTCGGTGAGTTTTGTCGTTTAAAGTCTACTAAGCATATTGATTATTAGCTTGATCCACATTGCGTATCTTTTTTTCCCTCCTTTTTTGCTTTTGAGGATAGACGGAAAAATACAGAGTCTGCCGATGTCTGGCAAACTGGCCGTCATGTGGGATTGATTGCTGGGGAGTATGTTTGGGCTGGAGCAGTTTGGTTCTCAAATTAATATCAGAAACCCTGGCCAGTCAGAAAGAAACATAAACCAACAGAGACTGAATATGGGCTCACATTATAAAAGCCCAAACTTTCATGCTGGAGGCCCACCTGGGGCAGTGGAGTCCGGCATGGGCCCCATGAACGAGTCTCAAATGCTGGGGCTCAATATGAACATGAACGGTGAGCCCTATGGTGGATTTCACCCCCGGGGACACCCAGATATGCACACAGGGGGCGGAATCCAACAGCAGCAAGGACCCATGCATGGATTTTTTAACAACCAGCAACCTCATCAAGGACACTCGCATGCCCATCAACCTCACCCCCATCAACATCATCCTCATTTCAGTGGGAATTTTGGAGGTCCGGATCCAGGGTCTTCATGCCTACATGGAGGAAGGCTTATGGGCTACAACGGCAATGGCATGGGATCGCAGCAGGGCTTTGGAGAGAGTTTTGATCCTCTTGCTGAGGGACAGGCGGGAGAAGGCTTTCCCCAGCAACAGCCGCAGCAGCAGAGGCCCGCCAACATACCTGAATTTCAACATCACGGCCCTCCCAGCAGCAACCATCCTGTCCCTGCTCCCTGTCTTCCCCTGGACCAGTCACCTAACAGAGCAGCATCCTTTCATGGTCTTCCATCTTCTTCATCTACATCATCTGAGCCTCACACTATGGAGCCCCGAAGGATGCCCAACCAAGCAACCGTGGAGGGACTAGAGTACAACTTCCCAAGTGAACCTCCAGCTGGACATTTTGATGTTCCTGTGTTTTCCCCGTCAGAGTCAGAATCTCAGCTACCACATTTTGGGCCAGGCAGGCCTGTTCCCAGTGGAAATTTCCCAGGGAACACTGGCATGCCTCGGGCACCGGGTATGCAGGGCATTTCTAAGGGACACCAGCCGCCACAGCCCCAGCAACCTCAGCATGGAGTGTATTTTGAGCGATTTGGAAATGCCCGGAAGATGCCTGTGGGAATGGAGCCGGGGGTCAATGGACGACATCCCCTCATGCAACCACAACAACAGCCTGGCTTAATAGCTAGACAGAACTCGTGCCCCCCTGGCCTCCCCCGCCCCCCTCAGACTGAACCTGGCAATACTAACCCCAACATTCTGGACGGAGGGGTCATGATGCCTGGCCAACATAACCAGTTTGAATATCCCATTCACAGACTGGAAAATAGAGGTTTGCACCCCTATGGGGACCCCATGTTTAATATGCAACAGCCACCTCCTCCTCCTCCTCCCTCCCAGCAGCCTCCAAATCAAAGACTGCAACACTTTGACTCTCCTTACATGAACATGGCAAAAAGACCCAGATTTGATTTTCCTAATGCACATGGCGGCGAAGGTTGGTGTGCCAGTATAGATAACCACCTATCGCCCTCAGCTTACCCTGGCCTGCCAGGAGAATTCACCCCACCTGTGAATGAAGGTTTTGCACCGGGTCCCCTGCAGCATCCGGGGCCTGAGCCCCAGTCTCTGCAGCAACGCCAGAATGCAGCCATGATGATAAAACAGATGGCCTCTCGTAACCAGCAGCAGAGGATGAGGCAACCGAGTCTTCAGCAGCTAGGTCACCATGGGGACGTCCCTCCTGTCCCGATGGCTCATGGAGGTCCAGTTGGGAACATGCCACAGCCCAATTTTGACAGAGAGAACAGTGGCAGAATGCCCAACATCGATGGACAAAATCCTCATGTAACTCAGGAGAACTCTTGGTTTCAGGGTTCCCACCCACCAGGAGAGATCATGTCCAGGCGTATGGGTGGTGCAGGTAATGATTCTGGGCCAACCGATATGGGGATGCAACAGAATGGGGCTGGGATGATTTTCAGGCCAGGTATGGGTATGCAGGAGCCCATGAGAATACCAGGAGACGGACATGTGCAGACACTTCATTCTCCAGGCATGCACTCACAGTTTAGTGGAAACATGGGTAACCTCTCACAAATGCAGTCTCCAGGAGCTGGAGGAGGACATCCAAATGCACCAGCAGAAAGGCGACCAGCTGATTTCCCTCCACCTCCAATGGGAGCACAACCAACCTTTCCCTATGGGGGTGCTAACCGCCAGGGGCCTCCTCACAATGCTCCCCAGGGGGTTAACACCTCACCAGGGAGCTATCCTCCACAGTCTGAGTTTCCCTCAGGCCAGCGGTCGTCTGTTAGTAAGCTAGGAGCTCTGTCTCTCGGGAATTTCAGCAAAACCAGCTCTAAAGACAGCGTGTTCGGTCAGAGCTGTTTAGCGGCCCTGTCTACAGCCTGCCAAAACATGATCGCTAGCCTAGGGGCCCCCAATCTTAATGTAACATTCAACAAAAAGAACCAAAATGAGAGCAAGCGAAAACTAAGTCAGACAGAGCAGGACATTAATAGCAGCACGTCTAATGGGACTGGAAGTGCTGGTCCTGAATATTTTCAAAGCAGTACTTCCCAGAACAACCAGATGCCTAGCACCGGGAATAGCAACTCTAAGCCTGTAAGTCAAAGCCAGACGGTGCAGGGGGAAGCCAGTGCCCTCTCCCCAAACTACAACATGGACGCTACCCCGTGCAGTGAGGGGAAGGCAACAACAGGGAGTGGGAGAGGGAGAGGGAGGAGAAAAAGAGACAGTGGACATGTGAGCCCTGGAATTTTTTTTTCCTCCGATAATGGTAACCCTGTTGTTAGTCCAGGCCAGCAGACCCCCTCGGCTGGCACTGGGGAGAGGGGTGGGGGCACACCTAATGAAAAACACCTTCACTCCCCATCTTGGGGGAAAGGAGGTGACCTAATATTGGGGGACCATGCTGACCTTATGTCTTCTTTAGACAGTGGCATTCAAAGTGTTGCTGCCAAGTCTGACAGCAGCTCACCAAGAGTGGACTTCCCTGACGATGTCAGCACCCACTATGGCAACGAGGACGAGGTGTCATCCAGCTCAGATGCAGGAGGGGCTTCTGCGAATAAGCCCAATCGCAGCCCTATGATCACAGGCTCACCCAAAATGCAGCGGAGCGATCACAGTTTATTAAATGGACAAAAGCCCCTTGGCACGGGCATAAACAATCATACTACCTCAGCACCAGACAGTTATGGACTGAACTCTGGTGTGAGCACAGGGGCCAGCGGGGTGAGCCACCCTGGCACTCCTGGGGTGGAGCAGGTACGCACTCCATCCAGCACCTCGGGCCAGGAAGAAATCCACCCTCTGGAGATACTCCAGGCCCAGATCCAGCTGCAGCGGCAACAGTTCAGTATCTCAGAGGACCAGCCCTTGGCTATAAAGAATGGCAAAAAGAGCAGTGACTGTCCCTCGCAGAACGGAGACAATGAGCTGCCAGGCTGCAGTCCGGATGCGGGAAAGAGCTCAATGGGCACTATTGACCTTGACGCCCTCATGGCAGAGCAGCACGCCACCTGGTACGTGCCCAGTGACAAGGCCATGATTGATGGGTCAGAGGATGACAAGGCCATGGGACCCTGGGAAAAAAATAAAAGCCAAAACAACAGTAAAGAAGGTAAATAATTCCTCATTCTCCACTTTCCCTCAGAATTTTCATTATCAGTTTTTTTCTCTTCTATAGTTAAATATGCTATTTCAAGAAACTGACTTTATAACGTTTCACTTATACTTTTGTCTATGTTGTGCGTATGAAGTTTACATCCCTCTCTATTCCACTGTGATCTTAAAATTTTAAAGATTTAGTTTAGAGAAGTGAGATGAATATGATATTGTTTTTATTTATGTAGAAACATTATATATATATTTTTTTCATTTGAATGTAAAAATTTAATATTAATTAACAATCGAGTAATGTGTAAATTCAGTATTTCCTTTAACGTCCTCATTTTTAATCTTAGCCCACTGGCAACCTAAAAAAGAACAGCAGAAGAAAAGTAAAAATTTCCTGTGGTTCTTTATCTCAGTTTTCAGGGTGAACAACTACATTGAGAAGATTAATAGCTTTCAGAGGATATGCGTTTGCACAGCAGGGGGTTCCCTCGCTTGTTACGTGTTTGTTTTTGGCATTACCATGGGATAATACTGGCCTGGTCAGAGTAGACAGATCTTTTTGACAGGGTTTTGTGTGAATTTATCCTGGTTTAAAAAAAATACTGCTGTTCAATTTTAGATTTTATTTAAATTTTAAACAGTAAATATGTTAAAAAGCATTCTATCAAATGATTGATAGATTCTTATGGTTTTAATGTGGTTTTTGGATTTATTATTTAACTCGGTTGGAATCTGAGTAGTTTTCATTATATATATTCTAACAAGTTTCAAAATATATTGACTTGGAGGTGTTTTTTTTTTTAAGCCAAAGGACAAATAATATAAAGTGCAGTTTGTGTTTAACAGTCTTTTTCTTTGTTTTGCAACATCTTTATAAGAATACTAAATCTAAAATTTATATACATCTTTTCTATAGATTTATCAGAATATATATATATTTTTTCTTTTTAAATAACAATAGAAATTTATTTACATTGGTTAAGAGGTAACTATTATGGACGTTTTACTTCTATGTGATCTAGTTTTTTGAGTTCTTTTTTTTCAATATAACTCCATAATTTATTAAGCCTGATTATATAGTTTTGTTCATGGTGCCTTTTTGCGTCTGCAGTGTCTCTTTGTTCTGATCTGTGCGGGTGCAGAGTGCGACGGGGGCGCGCGTGGTGCCGACTCTCTGCGTCCAGGCACGTCGGTTGTGTGTCGGGTGTCGTGTTATAAATAATAATGCCATTACACAAATGGAGCACTCTGTTACTGCGTAGACCGTGGGGGTGTCCTTTGTCTTGGTACATTTTTAATGAAAACTGGTGAGACTGTTAAAAAATATAATTATTTTCTTAATAATAGTGAGAACCTGCAAGAAATTAAAAAACATATTTATAATATTATATTAATATGATATTAATATAATATTAACGTTTTTTAAAAAGGTAAACCCAACAAAATATTGTTTTTTTTAATCATTTTTATATTTTTTCAACAGTTAATTCCACTATTGCAATTATAAATGAAAAAAAAAAAATATATATATATATATATATATTAAAAAAAAAGTATTGTAGTTTCTCCTCTCTCGTCTGTTTTACTCTCCTCAGCCCTCCCTGTTTGAACACAAGGCATACAGCTCTGGAGCGATCGATAGCTAGTTAGCACAAATCACAGGTCCTGACAGTTTCTCATTTGAGTGCCTCTGACAGCAAAGATGGAAAAGAAGAAAAAAAAAGAATGCATGGATATATATATATATATATATA